CACCAGGATCTGCAGCCATTATAAGCCATAGGGAAAAGGAACTCAGGGGGACCCTTTCCCCCTCACTACATGAGAGTCCATTCTGTGGGACTCTTTCCCTCTCCCCACGTGGGAGTCTGTACTTGTTCTTCAATAAGTCTCCACCTTTGCTATACCACTTTCTGTCCGTGGATTCATTCTTCAATTCCGGTGGACAAAGAACCCAGGTTCCAGTCCAAAAATTTCGTATCACAAATATGTACATTGACACACTTGCTTTTATATAATTAAAAATAATGACTGAGCCTGGCCGGTGTTGCTCAGTGCTTGAACCTGGTCAGGGCACATGCCTGGGTTCTGGGCTTGATCCCTAGTGTGGGGAGTGCAATCAATGATTCTTATCATTGATGTTTCTATCTCTCTCTCTCCCTCTCCCTACTTCTCTGAAATCAATAAAAATGTATTTTAAAAATAATAATGATAGAGCAATTTTAATCATTTTATACTGCAAACAAAGGGCTGCTCATTAAAAGGGGAACAAAGGGACACAAACATTCCAGGAAAGACGTTCCACAAACATACATTTTAATAAGTCACTCCAATCCTTGCATTCACTTCCTGCAGTTTTGTTGATTATGGAACAGAGAAACCACATATCTGTCTGTTAAGGTACAACTTATTACAATGACTTCTGGAAAGTAATGTGTCTGAACAACTCAGGGGGAAGAGGGCTAATCCGAGTACAACACTGGTCTGGTGAGAGAAGAAAAAGTAAAACCTTTCCTGGTGATAATATAAACAAATGATAATTGAAATTCCCATTGGAATATAAGTAAATATGTATATTTTTCATTCCCAGGAGTCAAAAGCAGGTAGGAAAGTTGGAAGATGGAAAAAATAGACTAAAAACAGAAACATATATATCTCTAGCTATCCTGCAGCTAAGGCCTATTGCAATCAAGGCCCTTCTTAAAAATGACTGCCCGCAGAGAGCGAAGTGGGCTATGGGGGCAGGTGGAGAGCCGGCTCCTCGGCCACACAATGCAGAAGTGATTGTTTTCCCGGGATGTTTCCGATCTAACTCTCACCACAGCATAACCCAGGGTGGTGCCAGATGCTGTTACAAAATCATTTGACATTAAACTCCTGGAACATGGAGCAGACTTTTAAGAGACAACACACTGACATCTAGAACCTGCACACTTTTATAATGAAAAGGAAGAAAAAAAACAGCGAAAATTGTGACTTTTGTGATTCTCTCTTTAAGGGATCCCATTTGAAATCTGAGAAGTGTTTTGTAGAAGTGAAATCAGACCAGTTAGAATAATGTGAGAATTTAAATGACTTAGTAGGAAAAGGGAGCATTAGTTTGTCACATACAGACTGCATGACATGGATTATTGAAAATTCAGTCATAAATGGGAAAAGTGTGAGAGAAAGAGCAAAGTAGGTTGGATACTTTGAGTTTGTTATAAAGCAACTGTCCAGTGGATTGGGGCTTCTATAGAGTGAGCTCAATGGCAAGCAATTTGTTAGGAAAACGTTTATTAGGAAAAACTGAAAAATGTTTAGAGATTATAAATGGACCAATTAGAATTTTTTCAGCTACCTCTCATTTCTCACAAAGCACTCCTGCTGGCTCACCCCTGAGGTCCAGAAGGTTATTGTTTAGTTTCATTGAGATTTTGAAGTCATGCTAAATGATGAAAGAGAATTGGTTTCATTTTATCCAGTAATGTGTTAAAACTGCATGCCAAGTAAAACATTGATTTGTTACAATAATTACAAAGCTGCCCTTTTCAAATACAGGCAGTATTTTAAGCACTATATAGTAACCCTCTGTGAGACTCAGTTTATTTTTCTAAAAGATAGAAAATTACTAAATAATGCTTCCTTTTTGCAAAAACCTCTAGTCAAATAACTAATTACAAATATGTTCTAATCTGGTAAAAGTATAGATTAGAATTACATTAAAAAGTATTGTTCTGTCTATTCTCTCAGACTTTTGAGGAGAAGAAAATAGACAAAGGCAGGGATAAAACAATGATTCTTCACAGCATATAAACTATGAGTTATAGAACAATATCATTGTGTAAGAATCAAGGCCATGTTAATAATTTCTATTTATTGAGAGCTTAGTAAGCATATGAAAGCTGCTAGTTCTTATTATACACCAAATGCTGTGGTTAATGCTTTCAAATCGTATTTCATTCAATCCCAGTGACAACTCTAGGGCAGTGGTCGGCAAACTCATTAGTCAACAGAGCCAAATATCAACAATACAACAATTGAAATTTCTTTTGAGAGCCAAATTTTTTAAACTTAAACTATATAGGTAGGTACATTGTTATTAACTTAATTAGGGTACTCCTAAGCTGGCCTTTGCTAAAAACGTCCTCAATCTGATTGAGGTACATTCGCTGAGGTCGACCCCTTCCAACTCTCCCATCCACACTCGTCTTGTATACTTGTTTCATCTATCTCATTTCGTTCATCCTCTCTATATGTCCAACCCATCTCAACATACCTTTCTCAATCCTCGACACTACATCTTCTTTTTTTTTATTGCTTAAAGTATTACAAAGAGTATTACATATGTCTCCTTTCTGCCCCCCCCCCTTGACATTCCTCCGGCCTCCCCTACCCCCCAGTGTCTTGTGTCCATTGATTATGCTTATATGCATGCATACAAGTCCTTCGGTTGATCTTTTACCGCCTCCCCAGCCCATCTTCTTTCACTCCACAACGTTCCCTAAAATTAACTTAATAAACTTTACTTAAAGTTTTAAGTCAACTTCGCACTGAATGTGCACACCCGCACGTGGTATTTTGTGGAAGAGCCACATTCAAGGGGCCAAAGAGCTGCATGTGGCTCGCGAGCCGTAGTTTGCCGACCACTGCTCTAGGGGAACAGATATGCTTATCCCCATTTTTCAGATGAGTAAACTGGGGCTGCAAACATTTAATAAGTAGTTCAGGTTTACACAGCTAATAAATGGTGAGAAAAGTACACGCGTTTAGATTTGCTTGACTCCAAAATTTATTCTCCCATTTACTAAGCTATACTTTTTTTCATTATGCTAATACTCATTTTCTTCAGGCTCAGAGAAGGATGTAGTTCTTAGGTTGCTACTTCCTACAGGCCTATTAAGTAGTGGGAACCTGAAACCAAGATTTAATCAAACACCTAAAATTGTGTCTATCTGTAACTCTTTGGAAATATGAATGAACAAAATAAGAGATTAATTTCTACATGAATAAAGTACCAGTGAAGCAAAACAATGACATATTCTGGTTTCATTATTCAAATTAAGAATGAAAAAAATTATTGAAATCAGTTGGTAGCTGGGGAGAATTATCAGTGGAAAAAATAGGTGGTATGATTTCAAAAACTTTATCAGGACACACATGATAAGAAAATAACAATATTTCTAAAGTTGGTAGCATTTTCAAATGTTGAGTGGGTTACGTCAAGCCCAATAAATCAAACAAATATTAAATCTGGAAATATTTAAAAATCTCCGGTGTAACAGCTTTGTCTTGGTGTGCTATGAATGGTAAAGGATATAAAACATTGTTTCTATCAAAAAGCTCATATCGCAACTGAGAAGGTGAAAGACATGAAAATAAAGGTTTTGTAAGCAGCACATGCTCAATACTCCAAGATGTGTGTGAATATGCTACTGGAGATAATAGAAAAAAAGTATTTTGAACTAAGGTGTTTGGTATTCCATTAGTTAGAAATAAGTAGAATACTTATATGAGGATAAGAGTTTGTAGACTTCTTATTTCTTTTCCTTCTCTAAGTTTAGAAGCAAAGCTTACCATAATGGCATTATTGATTTGTTACCAGTCCCAGGTAAGCCTGAGACTGCCAAACTGTAGCCCTGAAACAAATCCACGGAGCAGCATATGTGTCCAGATATTTAGTCTCAACCATGGCAATGAACTGAGATCCTGAGATCCATTCCAGCAGAGTACTCCAGGAATCAGGATGCCAGCAAGCCAAAATTTGTCTCATCACACAAATATTTTTCTTAGAGATTTTAATGGAAATGTAGGCTTTGTTTACCATAGACATAGCTTATATATTTTTATTATGGGCTTATTTTACTTCAATTTGCAATAGACTCGTGGAAAATGCACTAGAGTAGAAGAGAGAACTGAATTATAATGTTAGCTCTTTCATTGACTAGTTGTTTGAATTTCTAAAAGTCACTTAACCTCTGTGAGACTCAGTTTATTTTCCTAAAAGATAGAAAGTATCCCAGTGTGTAATGATGAACATGTGAAAGCAACCATATGTTCAGAATGCCCAGCTTACCTCAAAAATATTTTTGATTACAATTTAATTTAATTTAGGCCACTGAGACGTTACATCAAGGATGCATTATCATCATGTTTACTGTATCATCTGTAAACAAGCAAAACTAATAGGGATGTGTTTGGCAGTTTCTATTTGTGATGTTGTTTTATTGAAATAATCTTTACTATACCATCCATAACAATAATGTCTATTAGTGAAAGCTATTTATATTGATAATTAGTTGCTATTAAAAAAACAAAATTATAACACTCTTGTATCTGGCACCAAGTTATTAGGGAAAGATAATATTTCAGTTTATTCTAATATTTACTATAACCAGGTAAGATTTTGATTTTATGGAGAAAATGTCTTCAATCAGAAACAGTGTTTCTTTTGTGATTACCTTGGTAATTATGGCAGACTAACATCGGGAGCTGGTATTTTGTGCAGATACACTTCTATAAATCATATGACGAATGTAGTTTATAGTAAATACTATAAGAATGTCAGCTACATTATAAGCAGTGTTATCTTCAATAATGCTTTCAAATTGTATTGCATTCAATCCCAGTAACAATTCTAGAGGAACAGATTTGCTTATCCCCATTTTCCAGACGAGCAAAGTATGGCTGCAAACACTTAATAACTGGTTCATGTTTACACAGCCAATAAGTGGTGAGAAAAATATTTGAGTGCGGATTGGCTTGACTCCAAAATGTATTCTCCTATCTACTCAGTTATTCTTCTCTTCATTATTCGAAGTCATCTTCAGGTTCAGAAAAGTAAGTAATTCTTAGGTTATAATGCATCCTGATGGCCTATTAAATAGTGAGGAACTCAAACCAAGATTCCATCTAATGCCTAAAATTATGTCTAACTCTAATGCTTTGGAAATATTATCTCAATAAGAGCTGCTCTTTCATGAAAGTGATATATTTTGAGGGGAGAGGCCAGTATCTTCTGGTTGGAAAGTCTCCTGAAGTAGTCCATGTCCACATGTGCACTCAAACTCTTCTCATTTTGTGTGTCTGAGTGATGATAGTTAAGTCTCAGACTTTCAGTGTCTCAGCACGACATTTAATTTTCTCTGAGGGTGTATGTTCAAAACAGATTCTTAGGTGGCTCCGCCCCATAGCCACTCAGAGACCATCGAGATTACATGCCCTCTTTGGTCATGTATTGGGTTATTTTCATTGTCATTACTATTGTAAGTTCATGCAATTATTTTTACTCTGATAATATACACAGTTTAAATTTTTATTTTAATGATAATGTCATAATGTATTAATGATACAATACTTTAAAGTACATATAATTTCTAGTCATATATAAAATTAAATAATCTAAATAATTTATATCTTAAATTTTATTAATTTTATAAGGTACAATGTTATTCCATCATTTCAATATGCATATATTTGTTTGTCCTGTAACATTTAAATTTTTATTTTTATATTTAGTGATAATAAATCTTTTTTCATTATTTTTAGTGAGATTAAAATTTTGAATATATTGTACATGTTGGTTGTTCATTTCTCTTTTACTACACTTAGAAATCACAAAGCTTCTCAAATCTCCCTTAACATTTTTATAAGACTTGTGTGTAGAAAACACACTCAACGATGTGGCACTGCAACTAGGTCAGAGAGAAGCTCCCTGGAGGAAGTAGGAAATATATCTATCATTTTCATATGCTTATTTCTAGGAGCCTGTGAAAAATTTTATTAGTGCCAAGTCTGGAGAATTTTTATATCCCCTTCCCTTTGGCAAATGACTTATTTACATATTAACTTGTTCCATGGGATTTGAGGAAAAAATAATAAATAGGCACTCGACTAAAGAATAAAACAGTATTGGACATGCAGATGCAGGTTTTGACTTATGGTGGCTTAGTGTGATGTGTGAAAATTGGTGATGGGTTTTTCAAACTAAGAAAATTCAGCTCTGATTTTACATGCATAGACAGTACTGGACTGAATAATGAAATGAATTTCATCACCCATTTTTCTGTGTTTTCAATTTTTGTGAAATTTGCTTCAGATTTTTTATGTGAACTTTTATATGAAAAGAAATATATACTTATTTTTTAAATGTTGTATGTTTGAAGGAATAAAATAATAATTCTTTACAACATATTAGCTATGAGTTATAGAACAATATGTTAAAGAATTCTGTTCATTGAGAGCTTAGTAGGCACATGAAAGCTGCTAGCTCTTATACACCAAATGCTTGTGCTGAATTTTGCTTGCTTTATAGATGACACAGCAAACAAGATTATAATGCATCCTAGAGGTAACCTCTCAATGGCCTAAATTAAATTGCAATCAAGAAATATTTTTGATGTCCTGGATGGTTTGGCTCAGTGGACAGAGCATCGGTCTGTGGACTGAGGGGTCCCAGGTTCAATTCTGGTCAAGGGCACCTGCCTGGGTTGTGGGCTGGATACCCAGTGGGGGGTATGCAGGAGGCAACTGATCAATAACTTTCTCTCATTGATGTTTCTATCTCTCTCTCACTCTTTCTTCCTCTTGAAATCAATAAAAATATTTTTAAAATATATATTTTTGAGGTATGCTGGGCATTCTGAACATATGGTTGCTTTCACTTGTTCATCATTACACACTGGGATACTTTCTACCTTTTAGGAAAATAATCTGAGTCTCACAGAGGTTAAGTGACTTTTAGAAATTCAAACAACTAGTCAATGAAAGAGCTAACATTATAATTCAGTTCTCTCTTCTACTCTAGTGCATTTTCCACGAGTCTATTGCAAATTGAAGTAAAATAAGCCCATAATAAAAATATATAAGCTATGTCTATGGTAAACAAAGCCTACATTTCCATTAAAATCTCTAAGAAAAATATCTTTGTGTGATGAGACAAATTTTGGCTTGCTGGCATCCTGATTCCTGGAGTACTCTGCTGGAATGGATCTCAGGATTTCAGTTCATTGCCATGGTTGAGACTAAATATCTGGACACATATGCTGCTCTGTGGATTTGTCTCAGGGCTACAGTTTGGCAGTCTCAGGCTTACCTGGGACTGGTAACAAATCAATAATGCCATTATGGTAAGCTTTGCTTCTAAACTTAGAGAAGGAAAAGAAATAAGTTTACAAACTCTTATCCTATGAAATAAAAGGCTAATATCCAAATGACCGAATGGTGGAATGACCGGTCACTATGATGCGCACTGACCACCAGGGGGCAGACACTCAACACAGGAGCTGTCCCCTTGTGGTCAGTGTGCTCCCACAGTGGGAGTGTCGCTCAGCCAGAAGCCAGACTCACGGCTGGCAAGCACAGCGGCAGTGGTGGGAGCCTCTGCTGCCTCCATGGCAATGATAAGGATGTCCGACTGATGGCTTAGTGGGCCAAGCCGTCAATCGGACATCCCCCCAGGGCTCCCGGACTGTGAGAGGGTGCAGGCCAGGCTGAGGGACCCCACCCAAGTGCACAAATTTTGTGCACTGGGTCTCTAGTCCTCATATCAGTACTCTACTTATTTCTAACTAATGAAATACCAAACACCATAATTCAAAATACTTTTTTCTTTTATCTCCAGTAGCATATTCATACACATCTTGGAGTATTGAGCATGTGCTGCTTACAAAACCTTTAATTTTTAGCCCAGCTAGTGTGGTTTAGTGATTGACTGTTGACCTATGAACCAGGAGGTCAGGGTTTGATTCCCAGTAATGGCACATGCCAGAGTTGCGGGTTCAGTCCCTGGTGGGTGACATGCAGGAGGCAGCCTATCAGTGATTTTCTCTCATCGTTGATATTTCTATCTCTCTCTCTCTCTCCCTCTCCCTTCCTCTCTGAAATCAATAAAAATACATATTTTTTTAAAAACTTTATTTTTATGTCTTTCATCTCCTCAGTTGCAATTTGATCTTTTTGATAGGAACCATGTTTTATATCCTTTACCATTCATAACACACCAAGACAAAGCTGTTACATAGGAGATTTTGAGATACTTCCTGATTTAATTTCTATTTTATTTATTGGGTTGACATAACCCACTCAACATTTGAAAAACTACCAACTTTAGAAATATTGTCATTTTCTTTTCATCATATGTGTCCTGATAAAGTTTTTGAAATCATATAATTTTTTCTAATGAGAATTCTTCCCAATTGCCGACTAATTTCAAGAATTTTCTGTATTCTTAATTTGAATAATGCAGCCACAATATATCATTGTTTTGCTTCACTAGTACTTTATTCATGTAACAATTCATAAAATTTTCTCAGAAATGAATTCTGTTAATTTACCAAAATTTTTATACATCTCTTCAGATTTAATTTTCATTAAACAACTCACTCCTGACTTCTAAAATTATATTTTATTGCATATTTTATTGTATATCTTTATTTATACATTTTCAAGTCAGTAGTTACATTTTCTTTCACTAAATGTCTGCATGTTTATTTATAAACCTTTTTCTACAATTGTATTTTAGGCATAAGCTATGAACAAAGTACATCTATTAGAATATATTGCCTTGGAAGGGCCTCTCTTTCGTTGTTCTCCTATTTTATAAAACATTAAGTTATTTAAGACAGCAAATATTCAGTGATAGTTTGAAACTCCACAAGTAATGTAATATTTATGTGTTTTTTAATTTCCCCCAGACAGCTTTTACCTTTAGCTTTTATATTAGGTCTATTATTCAAATTCTGTTAATTTGTAAGTGTAGTATGAGGTAGAGGTCAAGGCTATTTTAAAAATATATATAGATATACAATGTTCTGGCATCATTTGTTGAAAAGAATTTTTGTTTCCCTATTGACTACTTTGACTATTGTTTCATTTGAAGATATCCATTGCCATTTTTTGTTTCGCTTTGTTTTACTTTTACTTCTGTTTCATTCATTTATGGTTTATTCTTTCACCAATACCACACTATCTTGATTACTCTCATTTTATAATTATTCTTTTAAAAATAATTTATTGTTTTTAATTACAGTTGGTGTACAATATTATATTAGTTTAAGGTATAGTACCCAGTAATTACACATTTATATAGTTTAAGAAGTGATCATCCTGATAAATCCAGTACCCATCTGACACCATATACAGTTATTAAAATATTATTGACTATATTCTCTATTTGTACTTCACATTCCTATGGCTATCATGTAACTTCCAATTTATACTTCTTAAGCCCTTCATCTTTTCACCCATCCCCCAACCCTCCTCCCATCTGGCAACCATCAAAATGTTCTCTGAATCTGATCTGTTTCTATTTGTTTATTTTGATTTTTAGATTCCACATATAAGTGAAATCACATGGCATTTGTCTTTCTCAGTCTGATTTATTTCACTTAGCACAATACCTTCTAGATCTATCCATGTTATTGCCAATGGCAAGATTTTATTATTTTTATGGCTGAGTCATATTTCACTGTATATATACAACTCTTCTTTATATGTTCATTTATTGATAGACACTTAGATTACTTCCATATCTTCACTATTGTAAATTAAAGTGCAATAACATATGGATGCATATGTCTTTTTTATTTAATATATTGGGTTTCTTCAAATAAATACCCAGAAGTGAAATTGCTAGGATTATTTTTTTCTCTTGTTATAGCCTTTGTTTAAAAGTCTATATTGTCTGGTATAGTAAGTATTGTTACCAGATATTTTGTTGTTGTTTCTATTTTCATGAAATATCTTTTTCTATCCCTTTACCTTCATTCTCTGTTGTCTTTTAATCTGAAGTGAGCCTCTCATAGACAATATATGTAAAGATCTTGTTTTGTTATACATTC